CGTAAAGTTTTATGCTTTCTAAGAAATGGATACCGTTAACTTGGTCATTGCTACTGAAAACTGAAAGTATCGGCAACAATGTTTATATTTCTGGCATATTTTTTAACCTTCAATTTAATAAAACATAACCTGACGAAAAATGTTCAGGCAATTTTTATTCTTCTGCATCGAATACCAACAAACTCACTAGATTTTCATGACCAACCCCACTATATAAAGATCGTGAACTGATAATATCTATCTTGCTGAATCAAACTTAACCATAATTTAGCCACTGGTGAAAAAAACACTGAATTGTGTCTCTTGGAAATTGAATAACAGAAAATCCGTTAGAGATTTTTTCAAATAATTTGGCCAGACAATGAATACGGCAATGAATATGGTAACAAGCAAAAAAAAGAAGAGAAATAACGAATAGAGGAATGAAACAAAAACAAAATAGTATACACATATTAACATGGAATGTACGAGTATGTGGTATTTATGAAGAATGAGCTATCAAAAATCTTATTGGAAATTAAAAGATATAAAATAGAAACAATAGCTTTACAAGAAACACATCTCTGGCAGGTAAAGGAATACAAGAAGAAGACAAGAACAATCTGTTTAAATGTAGAGGCGCAACGAGACAGTTTGGGACAAGTTTTATAGTGGAACAGAGGCTTAAAGGAAAAATAATAGACTTTATGCAAATAGCAGATAGGATCTGTGGGATAAACCAAAATCTATTCGTTCTAAATACACATGCACCGACAGAAGAAAATGAAGATGATGTAAATGACGCATTCTATGAAGAAGTGGACAGAGTTATCGACAAAATAACAAAAAGAGATATCATAAATATAATGGGAGACGCAAGTGCAAAAGTAAGGAGAGAAGAAATATATAAAGAAATATTAGGAAAACACAGCAGGCATGAAGAATCAAACAAGAATGGTCTAAGATTAATCCAATTGGCCATAGAAAGAAATATGAAAATAGTAACTATGCAATTTCAAAGAAAAGATATGCACAAGGGAACGTGGATCATTCCAGGAAGAAAAGAAACAAACCAGATTGATCACGTACTGATCCAGGGAAAACATTCTATGTTGATAACATCAGTGAAAACCTGTCGAGGGGCTGACACAGATTCAGACCATTTTTGGGGCAAAGCTAAAGCAATGGAAAGGATAAGACAAAGAACACACGAGGAAACATGAAGTAGGGTACAATACAGAATAATTACAAGCACAGGAAATCAAAACAAAATATGAAGCAGACATAGAAAGAAACCTCGAAAAGCAAGATCTTTCAAAAGAAAAAAAATTAAATACCAAATGGAACAATATAGAACGCATAGTAACAGAAACGACAAAAAGACATGTGAATAAAACAAAAGCAAGAGGAAGGAAAGAATGGTTAGACGAAGAACGCGAAGCAGAAATAAAACATTAAAAGTTATCCAGAATGAAAATGCTGCAGATAAGAAACGAACAAAATACAAGGAATTATAATAGTCAAAGAAAGATAGTGAAGCAAATATGTTGCAGGAAAAAAAGGAATTTTTTAGAAAGACAAAAGGAGTTAAGATGGTGGCGTGGAACATTCCGGAGGGCAAAAGGAAAAGAGACAGACCAAGGAAGGAGCGGAAAGAAGCGATAGAGGAAGACCTATCAGAAAAACACTTACAAAACTTTATGAAGAACCCAAAAAATCAAAGGGAATAGAGACATATCACAAAGTTTTTCACAAGTTTTACGCCTCTTATTTTAATCATTTATTTGGTTCGATTTAATGCACATTTGGTGAAACTTTCAGTTTCATCAGCCAACTATTTCAAGGTGTTCGGATTTTTATGGAAATCAGTGTATGAACAGACTAGAGAGGGTTAGTTGATTGTGTTTTATAAATAAATAAGGACAAAAATTTGGTTCTTGATACTTTATCACCATATGGTCTAGAACAATATGTCTTTGAACCGACCAGAGTCTGCGGTAAGTCAAAAACAACCATTGATAACATCTTCATATCGAACAATTTCAACAAAAGCCACTACTCATATCATCGAAAACGATATCACAGATCATTACGGGCAGTTGCTCCAAATTAATGGTTTAATTAATAAATTAAACGACAATAAAAAATGCATAGTTTATAAAAGAAATTTTTCAAAAAAAAATATAGAAAAATTTCAGAATCTGTTACAATCGGAATCATGGAGTGACGTTTATAACAATTCGGGACCAAAAAAATTCCAAAAATGTTTTCAACTATTTGACTACTATTTTGATTTGGCGTTCCCAAACCAAGAAAAAGAAATCAATATAAAAAAAACCATCCACCCAAAACCTTGGCTTAATAATGAAATTATTGCCAGTAGCCGAAGATTACAAGATATGCATAAAATCACAAAAATTTACCCTGAGGTTCCAAAACACTACAAGATCCTTCAAAATCAACATAAAATTCTAGTCAAAAAAACAAAAAAAGATTATTATGACAATATTCTAAAAACATCGATGAATATAGGTAAGGATGCTTGGAAAATAATAAATTCGCATCGTCCTAATAACAAAATAAATAATTTACCAGACACATTACAAAACTCTGAAAATGAAAATATAAGGTTGTTTAAATGTAGCAAATAGATTCAATTCCTTTTTTATTAATTCAATACAGAATATAACAAAAACTTTTAAAAATACCCGTAATGATAACAAAAATAGACTACAAAATATTCCATTTAATAGATACTCAATGTTTTTAGATCCTGTAGTAATACCAGAGGTATATTACATTATTTCATCTGTGGCTAATAAAAAATCGAAAGGACTAGATGGGATACCGTATTATTTATTTAAAATACGTTCCTGAAACCACAATAGTTGTGCTCACAAATTTAATAAATACTTCATTTAGTACGGGAATTTTCCCAGATGAGCACAACAGCAATAACTGTACCTATACATAAAAAAGGTAATACGTCAAAAATGAATAATTACAGACCTGTTGCATTGTTGTCAATTTTTTCAAAAATTTTTGAAAAGGCCTTTTATCGTAGATTATATTCCTTCATAGAAAGACACAATATTCTAAGTGACAAACAATTTGGTTTCAAAAAAGGAGGAAGAACACAAGATGCTATTGTGTCAAAGTTAATGGAGATATTTGATTCTTTAGATGATAAAAAGAAAGTAGTAGGGATATATCTTGACCTAAGCCGTGCATTTGATACTTTGAATCATAACCTCATATGTGATAAACTGGAAGCATACGGAATCAGAGGTGTAGCTTTACAATGGGTAAAAAATTATTTAACAGGACGACAACAGGTGGTAAAAGTTACTTACAATCAGAGACCCTATTTATCAGACAAAAAAAGCCATTAGCACCGGCGTACCTCAGGGCAGCATATTGGGCCCGCTCCTTTTTATAATCTTTATTAATAATTGTATACATTCCCAAAAGAACTATTCATTACGACGACAGCAATTGTTACATCTAATGATATAGCATCCTTAAGTGTTCATGGAAGTAAATGTGTTTTAAGTATGGAATCGTATTGCTCTAAAAACTTTTTATCTCTGAATAAAGACAAAACATCATATTTGCAGTTTTTGGCTTATCCTAGGCAAAAAAACTTTAGCGTATTAATTAAATCCACTACAGCTTCAGTAAAACATAATAATGTTGTAAATGTTTTAGGTGTGACTGTGGATGAACATTTAACTTGGGAACCTCATATCGATATAGTAGTTAAAAAACTGACTAGCCTGTGCTTCTGTGTAAGGCAGTTAAAAGAAAACGTAAATGTGTCAACACTTATGAAATATTATCATGGATGTATAAACCCTTACCTTTCGTACGGAATTATGTGCTGGGGCAACTCTGTATTTGTAAATAGAATTTTTATTATGCAAAAAAAATTCTTAGAGTGATATTTAATCTACCACAAAGAGGTTCATGTCGTCAACTTTTTATAAAACATAAAATATTAACAATACCCAGCATATATGTTTTGGAATGCATTGGATATGTAAAACAAAACAAGAATGAGCCATAAATTATATAATAAAAAATGTAATCTTACATTAGTACAACAAGGTCCTCGAGAGGTAGCGTTGAGACTGTACAATCATCTGCCAGAAAATATTAAGTAATCAACAATGACAAAAAATTTATTAAATCCGTGAAAGTTTTGTTAACGGAAAAAGCTGTCTACTCAAAGAATGAATTCCTTACTATGTAGGTGTTTATATGTATGTTAGTACGTTTATATGTGCATCTCTGTTTTTTGTATTTTTTATATTAATATTTATTAAATTTGACAAGTCTAATGATTGCAATTGTACGCAGCCCTTACAGACAATAAATTATTATTATTATTATTAAATTTACAACTTTTAGTTTTATGCAGATTAAAGATTGCTCTGATGCACTGCTTTTGAACAACAAATATTCTAAAGATACCACTTAAATTTCCCCAGAATATTAGGCCATATTTTATTCTGCATTTTACATAACTGTAGTACGCTACTAGTGCTAGTTGTGGAGATAATGTTCAAGTGTACACCTAAATTTATTGCTTAAGTGAATATATACTATTCTTTTAAAAATTTGTGCTGTTTTTATAGTGGTTGTTTAGTTTCATCAACATATTTTTATTTTTGTTTTAGTAGGTATTTTATAGTTACACAAAGTAAAACAATCAAAATTCATTAAATAAGTGTTTGTAAAGCGTTAAATTTTTGTCAAATTGAAAGAAGTCTTAGACCAAAGTTGCTTCTAATATTTTGATATACTCACTAGTTTTTGAATAAAATTAACTAAACTGTTCATGTGTTTCCCCTTCTCATTTTTTGAATAAGAAAATGTCATTAAATACATATAAATTTGATCTATTACAATTTCTGGTTAATAATAATCATTTCTATTTTAGAGCAGCCACCACAGAATAGCTTTTTTTCAATATCTAAAAAAATTCTATGATTAATAATATTTTACATTTAAATTCTTACCGAAGTAAAAGTATTTAGTGTTAAATCCAATAATCCTCCAGCTGAAAGCATTGTAGGTCTCTTAGATCGCTCCATTAAAGTAAGATACAGTTTTTGTGTTTCCAGAGTGTATTCGTACCAATGACTTGAATAAGTAGCTGTGACAAGCATATCGCTCTAAAATATGTCATTATTTAAACTAATTTTTAACGAAAATTAGAAGTATGAAACCAATTTATTACGTCAAAAACTGAATTAAAATTTTGCAGGGGTTTTAGAAAATGTGAGATGTTAACCTTTCAGCAAAATACATCCACATAATTTCATACTTCTAAAACAATAAAATAAAAATAAGTAAATTATGAAATAAAAAATGTTAATTACGCACCTCTTCAAACAAAAGTGTTCCAAAATAGCAGTAAAATAGTATTTGGGAGAGTATGACGAAAAAGTATACAATGTATGTCATTCCATCTATGCTTGCAAGGGGAACCTAAAGTTCTCGATTACAGTGAGAATAACCCTTTAAATGAACATTTATACCGTAAGAACTGCAGTGATGAGGAAACATAGTAAAGCTGTTGTTCCAAGAAATTGATTGAACACACACCAAGATAAACATTGATCGAATTCGTTGATAAAACTAAAAATTAATAAAAATTAATGTAAGTTAAACAAAATGAAAATCTTACTTTAGTATTTCAGTGTGATGCTTTATACATTCCACTACCTTTTGGTAAATATAATTTTCAAGCAACGTCGCACTGAACGTATATTGGTCGAAGTTTTCAGGATTCTGTATTCTGTGTTTCAAAATTTTCAACTGACTCACAGCTTGAAATATAAGTCCTCCTATCAATGGATCAAGTGATGCGTTAGTGAAAGCACAGTAGGAAATAACTGAAATAATTACTTGTCATAACATTAATTTTTACAATAAATTATCCTTACCAGCCCAGATGTAAGCATATGCAGTGTAATAATTTACTAAACTCGAAGTGGTAGAATAGGGTAGCCACATCCGTAACGGCAAGTCATATCCACTCAAGAACAATGACGGCAATAAATACAACACTTGACAACACGCCATACTAATAATGTAAATTTTCGCTATTATTTGGCAAAGGACCACACTGTTGCTGAGAATTCGTTGCTCTGTTTTATCTCGTGGTCCAAATTCCACACCATCAAAGTAACTGATGCAGCGTTTTATTTGCTCTCCTTTTCTAAACATAGGCAAAAACTTCAACCCGAAGAAAGTCCCTTCGCATAAAAAGATAGCTTGCATCATGTCGTATCCTCTTCGCATTAACATTTCTACACCCACCAACGACACCCCAAGAACGAGAAAAATAATATATAAAACGTAACCTTGCAGTCGCTCAAACGTCGACTGAGTTGGAGGATACCATCTAAAAATTTTCATCAGTTTTAAATTGTAGATAAAACTTTGCCGGTTTGGATTTTCCATCGTTACACAAAGAGCTCGATTAATCTACTGTCACAGTGCTCTGCAAAACTGTGTGGCGATTAATTGTAAGTTCTATATTAATAGGTATCGTTTCCCCTCTGTAAGTGCATTTTTTCATAAATAAAATAAGTTGAATGAATTTTTAATCAAAGAGAACATCGGCTGAGAACACGCAAATTTCAATTTTAAAAGAATAATAGATAATTATTGAGCGATGCAACAAAGAGATGCATATATTATTTACTTGGATATAATTTTCAAAGAAATGTATTTAGTTTTATCAGAGAACGTAGGTGAAATGTAAACGAATGAAACGGAGCGTGGTTGCCAAATCAATCTTTTTCAACACTTTAGCAAGTGCTTTTGAACCAGGGACATGTAAATCGTGACAATAGAGCATCTAACGAAATTAAGTGGGACGTGGTTTTAGAGAGAAAAAGTAAGTGCTGTAAACAATTATTTTAAACTTGGACCACTTACTAAATTTTAAGCATATTTTACACATTTTTTTGTTTGCCACTGCAAGCCTTCTGATGGTGTCTTCTGAGTGAATATGAAGTTAGAAAAATAAAAAGGTCCAATCACATAAAATCCCTGACATAAAAAAAGAATATTTTTGTTGTGTTGTATTCTCTCAGAAACTATATTGCTACTATAAAGAAGTAATAGTTGTAACACTTCTGAGTCATTATTATTTTCGAGAGGTTCAAAGTACTCTAGCTAAAAGTAGGAAGCAGTATATCAACTTCTTAAACCATGTGTCAAGAGACAAGAAAAATTTTGGGTGTGTCGAATGGAAACAACTGAGAGCACTTGAATTCAAGAATAGACTAAGCAAATAACTGTAATTTGAAAAATAAAAATGTAGCAGTAATTATAAATCCTTAAATATACTTTTTTTCAGAAATATTTCACTTAGCTCATTAATAACTTTATATTAATATTTTCTCTAAATTTGTGTGCACTGTTGTGACCATAAAATATTTCGACAAATATTTTCCATCATCTATTCTGTTCTCTAGTTCTTTACAAATTTTTGTCGCGACATGCTTTACTGCCCATCCCATTCTTCCGTACTATTATCAACAGTATTTGATAAAATTTTGGTGACGTCATCAAAAATTTGAAAAGTTAAATTTTATAATTTTCTTCGATCAATTTTCTCGATTACTGAATTTCTCGAATAATAATAATAACATATTTCCAACTTAAAAACACATACATTGCTATGTAAATGACTTAGAGATACGTCCGTAAACTCGAAATATAGACATTAATAGTGACAGAATAGTACCAAACAGAGTGGGAAAAACAAAAACAAATGAAGGATGTTCAATTTCTCCATTTTTGGATTCTCGATTTTTGAAATTTTGGTTGTTCAGTGTTTCAAGGTTTCGAATTCTTAAGTTTTTTTTACTATTGTTCGATTCTCGAATATTCAGTTTTATATTTTCCAAATTCTCAATTATTTGTTGTTTCTTCAAATGTTGGATTTTTCGAATTGTCAATTTTGCGATCGTTCGATTTTTCGATTTCTCCATTGTCGATTTTTCGATTTTTGGATTTTTTGAATTTCAATTTTTTCGTATTTAAATTTCCGGATTGTTCGGTTTTTTGGAGTTTCAATTTTTGAGATCCTCATCAGCTAGTCCAATTTTCAGTTTTTCGATTCTTCGGGTTCTCAATTTTCAGTCTCTGTATTTCTTAATGTTCGATTTCCTGGTTTTTCGAAATTTGTTACTTTTCGATTATTCTAGATATTTGTTTTTCTTTTTTTCGATTTTTGGAATTATTGATTTTTCAAATTTTCTATTTTTCGATTTTTTCCTTTCTTACTTTTCTCATTTTTTGATTTTTCGACTTTTTGATATTTCGAACTTTCGATTTTTTAGATTTTTCAATTTTTCGGTTTCTCAATTATCCAATTTTTCGATTCCTCGATTTTTAGATTTTTTGGACTTCCCAATTTTTCAACTTTTCAAATTTTCAGATTTTTAATTTATCTTTTATTCGATTTTGTAATTTTTCAATTTTTGGATTTCTCAATTTTTTGATTTTTCAGTGTTTCAACTTTACAATTCTTCGATGTTCCAACTTCTGGGTTTCTATATTTCTCGACTTTTCGATCTTTCGACTTTTTGATGTTTCGAATTTTCGATTTTTCGTTCTCCGATTTTCAAATTTTTAATTTGTCGTATTTGTATTTCCAGATTGTTCGGTTTTTTGGAGTTTCGATTTTTCAGCTTCTCAATTAACCGAATTTTCAGAATCTCGATTTCTTAATTTTCGATTTCCCGCTTTTTTGAAATGTTTGACCTTTCGGCTATTCGAATTTTCGGTTTTTCATTTTTCGATTTTTCAAATTTTTGACTTCAAGTTTTCGATTTTCGTTTTTTTTTCATTTTTCGATATTTTGACTTTTCTCGATTTTTCGAATTTGATTTTTCCATTTCTCGATTTTTCTATATTTCCCGTTCCTTCTTTTCTGATTTACCGAATTTTCGACTTTTCAATGTTTCGATATTTTAATTATTTAGATTTCCCGATTTTTCAAATCTTCGAATTTTTATTTTTTAAAATTCTTTTTAATTTAGCTTTCAATATTTCGATTTTGCATTTTTTCAATTTTTCAATTTCTAATTTCTCGATTTTTTGATTTTTCGACTTTCCGATTTATCGGTTTTTCCATTTTTCGATTTTTCGATTTTTTTTGCGTGCATATTTTTATTTACGAATTGTTCAGTTTTTTGGAGTTTCGATCTTTCAGATTCTCAATTAATCGGATTTTCGGTTTTTCGATTTTTAGATTTTTCGATTTTTTTTGCGTGCATATTTTTATTTACGAATTGTTCGGTTTTTTGGAGTTTCGATTTTTCAGATTCTCAATTAATCGAATTTTCGGTTTTTCGATTTTTAGAGTTCTCAATTGTTTTGAATTTTCGATTATTCGAATTTTCGGTTTTTCTTTTTCCGATTTTTCGAATTTTTAATTTATCAAATTTTCGCTTTTTCGTTTCTTCCATTTTTCGATTTTTTGATCTTTCCATTTCTCGATTTTTCGATTTTTCCAATTTTTATCTTTTTGATATTTACAATTTTTTCAGTTTTAGATTTTTCTTAGGTTCGACTTTAAATTTTTCGATTTTTCGATTTCTGAATTATTCAATTTTCTGGTTTTTCACTATTTCGATTTTTCAGTTTTCTGATTTTTCAATTTGTCGACTTTTCGATTTTTTGATTTCTGATTTTCTCGATTTATCGACTTTTCGATTTTTCAATTTTGGATATTTCAGTTTTCCGACATTTTACTTTTCAACATTCCGATTTTTCTATTTTAGGGAGTCCTAATTTTTTTATTTTTCGATAATTCTCGACTTTTCGATGTTTCAATTTTTCGAATTCTCGATCTTAAGATTTCCTAGTTTTTAGAATTTTCAATTTTTTGGGGTTTCGACTTTTCGACTTTATAATTTTTTGATTTCTGGACTTTTCGATTTTTCGATTTCTTGATTTTTCAGTTTGTCAACTTTTCGATTTGTCTATTTTAGGATCCCCAATTTTTTTATTTCTCAGTTTTTCGATTTTTGGATGTTTTAATTTCCCGATTTTTCAATTGTTTAAGTTTTTACTTTCTGAGCGTAAGCAAAGGAAGTATTGTAATCGAGTCTGTGGACCCACTATCTACTTTTACGTTTTCTCGACCTTTCATGACCCCTAGAGTACGAAGAAATAGGTCTCCCGTTTCCGTCTGTCTGTCCGTCTGTCTACCGTTCCGGATTTTTACTAGACAGATAATCTCTGAAAGTACTGGGCCGATTGTTGTCATATTTTGTACTTATATTAGGAATATCATGTAGATGGTACAACGATAACCAAAATTTACCTAGTCATCCCCACCAATAATGTGATGACGTCACTTCAAAATTGCACATAGTAAATGGGTTTTAAATTGTATGAAATAACATAGTCCTACACATGTAGTTTACGACTCCGTACTGAGTTTCTACCCGAAACTTCCAGATTTTTGTACAAAAAATCTAAATTGTAAAACAACATTTTGCAATTTAATCTTGAATCTGCAAAACCGAAAGCTTTAAAATCTTGCAGATGGTTTACAGTTACTATAAGCATGATAAATTTTTAATCAAAATATATTTACTTATCCCCTCCAAAAAATTGATGACGTCAGCTCAAAATTTTGCTGAATAAATTCTACCTAAAATGTACAAAATATGATGAGTCCGTACTTGTGATTTATCATTCCATTCATATTTTTTAGATTTTCACATACAGGGTGACTCAAAAAAATTAATGAATGCGTGAAGTTATTTTATTGATTTAATCAGGAACTACAAAACCGAATGCTTTGAAAACTTGGAGATGTTTTAAAGTTGTCATAAGCATGGTAAATTTTTGATCAAAATATATTTGCTCATCCCCCGTAAAAAATTCATGAAGCCACCCCAATATTTTCTGAAAAAATGCTATCTTAAATGTGCAAAGTATAGATTTAGTGTGATTTATCACTGCGTTAAATTTTTTAGATTTGCTTATACGGGTGTCCCAAAAAAATTAATGAATGAGTCAATTTATTTTATTGACTCCGTTTTCCCCGAAAATTTTGGAAATACAAGACTGTTATTTTTAGTATTACACTGCACCAATTCAAGTTGATATATATGCCCTTGCAACAAATATTGATGACGTCATCACAAAATTTTGTAAACTCCAAAAACCCCTGGATTTGCTTCATTGTATTTCAGGAGCGAGGGAAGTTCTGTCGAAACAACTTTCGACCAATTTTTTATTCATGAATCCGTGTTGATATCGAGATGTTTGGAAAAATCAGAACTTTATAACAACATTTTGGAATTTAGGTTTGCAATTAGAAAACCGAATGATTCGAAATCTCGCAAACATTTATCGTAATCACAGTAAATCGTAATTAAACTTTACTTAGTCCTTGTTCCCAATTTGTGCGAAACAATTTTTATCTCCAAATTTTGAAGGATCTTTTAAAATCATATATATATTTTTATTTTGATTTTGGTGTAGTAAAAATTTGAGCGGGTTTTTTTATGACCACCATCTACATAAAACTAAAAAATTCCCCAGATAACTTCATGTGAATATATAAATACTGAGTACATGCAAGTGTTTTTAAAACGTTAAATTCTCTGCTCAAATTCGAAGAACTTTTAAACCTAAGCCTAAACTAAAATTTATCAAAAATATGTACACATGAAGTTATAAAATACTTATAAACTTTTAGATAGTTTATTACAATTTTGTGAACATTACTTTCAAGTATCAATTCACTCAAACTATCAATAAACGTACAAATCTAGCCACCATAGAATAGCTTTTTTTCAACACCTAAAAATTTCCATCAAAGAATAATATTTTACATTTACATTCTTTTTACTGTAAATATTCACCATCAGAAGCATTATCTAAGAACCTCTCAATTTCTTCGAGTGTGAACACCTTGGATTTCTTTGGTCTGTGCTCTACAAACTGTTGTTTTAGGGAAGCTGACACTTGATGAAATCTATAATAATGAATAGTTTAAACCTCATAAATAATCATTGCGATGTCACAAACCTGCTTATTCAATATTTTCTTCAGATATAACGTTTTCGTTAGTTGGGAATAATACGACCATAGTGATAAGACCATCAAAATGGAACTCGCACTGTGATCACGACCTCTCAACATTTTCTCGTGAATAAACGTATGTTTAATCCACTTGTTGTATAATAATATAATTAAAACCTACCTACGTACTTAGCTGTGCAATAAAATTTGATCTTTGATGGTTTACGCAGAAAAATAGTTTTGGGTTATTGAAATATTGAAGATTTTGCGAAAGGAATTCCCCCAACACTTTTAACCAAAACTCGGGTTGGATTGTCTTTTTTTATAGTGCCGGAAGTATTAAATGTGACCTTCACGAGAAACATGTGCTTAGGGGTATAGAAAATACAGATTTTACAACAAAATAGGCAGATAAAAGTAAAATAGGTAGAAAAAAAAGTAAAACAGGTAGAAAAAAAGTAAAATAGACAGAAAAAAGTAAAATAAAAGTTCAAAAAGGCACTCATGATCAAAAATGGACAAATAGGCAAGAACAAGTAGGGCTTAAATAAAAAGATTTTCTCAGATATACACTTATATACAACTCTTATGCATTTGCCTACAACTAAAATGAAAAAAAGCCCTGGAATCCGCTTTTTATATAATAATTAATAACTAAGAAATGGTGGATATGTTATTTAGCATAAAGAAATAATTTTGTAATAATTCAGTTGTTTATTTTCCTCTTATTATTTTATTATTAACACTTTTGTAATTATTATACATCGTGTGGTAATGAACTTCTATTTTTTAATTTGTGGTTACTTCTTGATAATTGAAAAATATTGGTGTCGGATTTCAATTTTTTTGTACAGGGATTCAAGTGTTTTAAAAAAATTGGACCCCTTTCAACGATTTTAATATTTTACCATTATAGATAAACATGGAAGTTGGCGCAATTGCTTATAATTTTTTTTAACGTCAAAACTTTTACTCTGTCTACATTCGATGAGCAGATCAATGTGAACTTGCGTATACACGATGACTACGCTTGCGTCGATAAGCATCCATTCTCCAAATCATAACAGCAGCCAGAAAGCGAAAAAGCAGACATAGTAAACACGACCTTAACACAAAATGTCGTACGGAAAGACAAAAAAATAGTCGTAGAGAATTTTTTTTTTTAATGCGAGAAAGCGACTTTTAATGCAGGTACTTACACTCGTTTTTTAAAACAACAGAGGCACGATGAGGGATATTGCGTATATGGAAGCACAATAAAAAGTGAAATGACGATATGTTCAGGAGCCGGGTTAATCGCACGCATTTCCTTCGGCGACCAGACGGGAAATATCCCCGACCCACCCCAAGCGCACAGCTCAATATGATCGTCTCACCCTAATATAGGCAACCAGCAATTCATCGTCCATTAATAAAAATAAGCAGGCATCATTTTGAGCGAGATCTATCACAAGTTTCATAACCTCTACAAAGCACTTTTGTTTTTATTTACTTGTACTTTGAGTACAAACAAAAATCTCTATGCAAGAAGAAAAAGATAATAAAAAAGAATATTGTGAGGAATGTTAAAAATACTCACATGAGGGTAAGGACATCAACATTTTTATCTCGAAGAGTTTATCATAGCGAAGAGAATTTTGCGTAATGAGTAATGAGTTCTTTTCAATTGAAAATTAACCCACAATAGTATAAACAGAATAGAAAAATGGAGTGCAAAAATATTGTAATTAATTAAAAAGAAAAAAGATAATGACCAGATAAATTAATCTATTCATGCATATAATAAAGGGCGGGTGGGCGGAATATTCGGTGTGAAATTCGAATTTTTTGAAATTTTTGAAAGTTGCGATATTTCAATGAACGATTCTGGAAAAACGAACGGAATTATCGAAGAATGTATTTAAATTAAATTTCGAAAATTGTCACAAACGGGTCGAAATGTGCATAACGGAAATTTCACTTTGGAAAAAATCTAAAAATCCTCAAAAAAATCTGGGATATAAATTTCGACGTGCTGATTTCCAATTTATAACGTACCTGTGGCTTCTGAGCAACATTTTTGAAATACATAATTCGGTTCAAAAATCGAATTTTTAAAAATTCTAAAAATTGCGAAATATCAATAAGACATTTTGGAAAAACGTTTCTAGTTATCGAAGATGTTTCGAAAAATTTCAAAAATGACGCGGAATTTACATAACGGCAGTTTTCTTTGGATTATCCTCGTAACCGTGAATTTGAGAGAAAATTTGTAGATCAATTTTTTTTTACTACTAGTCGCTGATTAGAAATCTCCGACAAATGTCTTTAGCTGATTTTCGAAAATGGTTGAAAAATGGTCGAAAATATCAAAAATGTTAAAATCAGCCCACCCTCCCTATATTTTCTTAGAGGGTATTTTATTTGTCAAAATCATGCATATTTTAAATAATTTAAATTTTTAGACGGAGTGAAAAGTAAATTTTGATTAACGATTTACCATTTTCATTATAATCTTAAAGTGTGTGCAGAATATCCGAGTAATAGGTTCTGTAGTTTTTAGGCTAAACGTTTTCTTAAAATTCTTTTTTTTTTCAAAAATCTACATGTTTAAAGTTAAAAAGGAGGCGCATTACTATATATTCCAAGTCTAGAACATGGACTATATAAATAAGACTGACTTCCATCATCCACACGACATTCTTAAAGTACGCCAAAACTTTACAATAATCAGCCCCGTAGTTTTGGAAATTATCTCTCACAACCAATCGCCAACAAACAACACACAAGACACAATCGAAATCAATGAAAATACGAGTCCTAAAATTAACAGTTCTTGTGACAATTTCGAAAATATTGTAATTTTTGGATTAAAAAAAATACATATTATAAAATTTCGACCAATTTTCGACAATTTTTATCAATACCAGGAGATCTATACGACAGTTTTGTTGGTTTTTTTTTTGGAACATTTTTCATTATCCTTTCTATAAAAATTTCGACCATTTTTCGACAGTTTTCAAAATTTAACCATAGACATATTATTATGGATTTCGACTTCCAGAAGTTAGTTTCGCCTCATTTCCTCGATAGCTCCTTACATTTTTCCAAAATATAACACTAAAATATTGTAATTATTTGGATTTAAAGAAAATTTTATTTTCAAGCCTAAAGCAGAGAGCATAAACACGCTATGTTTTTGGAATTAAGAACACAAGATCTATACGACAGACTTTTTTTGATTTTTTTGGCAAATTTTTGAACATCTTTCCAATACTAATTTCGACCAATTTTCGACAATTTTCAAAATTTAACGACACATTTTCTTATGGATTTCGATCTCCAGAGGTTAGTTTTGGCCTCATTTCTTCGATAGCTCCTTCCATTTTTTCACAATCGCTCATTAAACTATTGCAATTTTTTGGATTTAAAAAAATGTATATATTTTCAAATCGAAAATTTTTTATCTTACCCTGAGAGCATGCATACGATATGTTTTTGGAATCAGTACGACGAAATCCATAGACCAGAATTTTTGGAATTTTTTTGGCAAATTTCTCAAAAACAAAAATTTTCAGTAGCCGCTATAAAAATTTATATCAATTTTTAGAATTTAACCAAAGACATTTTCTTATGGATTTCTACCCGCAGAAGCTAGTTTTGGCCTCATTTCTTCCATAGCTCCTTCCATTTTTTCACAATCGCTCATTAAACTATTGCAATTTTTTGGATTTAAAAAAATGTATATATTTTCAAATCGAAAATTTTTTATCTTACCCTGAGAGCATGCATACGATATGTTTTTGGAATCAGTACTACGAAATCCATAGACCAGATTTTTTTGGAATTTTTTTGGCAAATTTCTCAAAAACAAAAAATTTCAGTACCCGCTATAGAAATTTAAAAATTTAGGTCAATTTTCAAAATTTAACCAAAGACATTTTCTTTTGGATTTCGATCTGCAGAAGCTAGTTTTGGCCTCATTTCTTCGATAGCTCCTTCCATTTTTTCAGAATCGCTCATTAAACTATTGCAATTTTTTGGATTTAAAAAAATGTATATATTTTCAAGTCGAAATTTTTTGTCTTACCCTGAGAGCATGCATACGCAACGTTTTTGTAATCAGTACGACGAAATCCACAGACCAGATTTTTTTGGAATTTTTTTGGCAAATTTCTCAAAAACAAAAATTTTCAGTACCCGCTATAAAAATTTAAAAATTTAGGTCAATTATCAAAATTTAACCAAAGACATTTTCTTATGGATTTCGACCTACAGAGGATAGTTTTGGCCTCATTTCTTCATAGCTCCTTCCATTTTTCCAGAATCGCTCATTAAACTATTGCAATTTTTTGGATTTAAAAATATGTATATATTTTCAAGTCGAAATTTTTTTATCTTATCCTGAGAGCATGCATACGCTATGTTTTTGGAATCAGTATGACGAAATCCATAGACCAGAATTTTTTGGAATTTTTTTGGCAAATTTCTCAAAAACAAAAATTTTCAGTGCCCGCTATAAAAATTTAGGTCAATTTTCAAATTTTGACCAAAGACATTTTCTTATGAATTTCGGCCTTCAGAAGGTAGTTTTGGCCGCATTTCTTCGAGAGCTCCTTCCATTTTTTCACAATCGCTCATTAAACTGTTGCAATTTTTTGGATTTAAAAAAAATATATATTTTCAAATCTAAAATTTTTAATCTCTCCTGAGAGCTTAAACACGTGTTTTTGTAATCAGCACAATGAAATCTACATGCCCGAATTTTTTGGATTTTCTTTTAGCAAATTTTTCAAAAACAGAATTTTTCAAAATGTAATAACTTTTGCCAATTTTCGAGATTTAGCTAACGATATTTTCTTATAGATTTGGGCCTACAAAAGTTAATTTCGCTTCATTTCTTCTGTAACTCCTTGAATTTTTCGACGTGCTGATTCCCAAATTATAACGTATTTATGGTTTCTCATCAATATTTTCGAAATACATAATTCGGATTAAAAATCAAAATATAAAAAATGTCAAAATCAGCCCGCCCTCTCTCTGTTTTCTTAGACGGTATGTTATTTGCCAAAATCAGTTTTTTCTTAGCAAGTACTAGCCCCGCCCACCCGCCCCCTATTTTCTTAAAGGGTATGTTTTTTGCCAAAATCAGTCTTATGCTAACAAGAACTAGAAACAGGGAAACCAAAAAAGCGATTAATCGAGAAATTGAAAAGTCGAAAAATTGACAATTTTATAACGGCAAAAATTGAAAACTGGAATCAAAATTAAAAAATCGTAAAACTTCAAACATTGGAAAATTGACAAAATCAAAAATGAAGAAATCGAGAAATACAAAAATTGAAGAGTCGTGATATTGAAAAATCCCAACAACGAAAAATTGAAGATTCAAAAATTAAAAAATGGAGAAATCGAAAACTCGAAAAATCGCAAAATTAAAAAATCGAAAACCTGAAGAATTGAAAAATGAAAATATTGAAAATTTAATAAGTCGATAAATCTAAAAAGTGAAGAATTGAAAAAAAGAATGGAAAATCAAAAACCTGAAAAATCGAAAAATTGAAGAATTGAAAAACGGAAAGATCGAAAGATCGATAAATCGAAAGCTCCAAACATCGAACAGTCGAGAAGTTGAGAAATGGAAAAAGTGATATACCCTCTAAGAAAAGAGAGAGTGGACGAGCGGACCTACTACCTACTAAGATAAGACTGATTTTGGCAAATGAGACACTCTCTAAGAAAAGAGAGGGTGGGTGGGCGGGGCTAGCAGCTGTTACAATAAGATCGATTTTGGCAAATCACATACCCCCAAAGAAAAGAAAGGGAGGGTGGGCGGCGCTGATAGCTGCTTTGATATGGGGAAACCAAAAACGCGATTAATCGAGAAATTGAAAAGTCGAAAAATTGACAATTTTATAACGGCAAAAATTGAAAACTGGAATCAAAATTGAAAAATCGTAAAACTTCAAACATTGGAAAATTGACAAAACCAAAAATGAAGAAATCGAGAAATGCAAAAATTAAAGAGTCGTGAAATTGAAAAATCCTAACAACGAAAAATTGAAGAATCAAAAATTAAAAAATGGAGAAATCGAAAAGTCGAAAAATCGCAAAATTGAAAAATCGAAAACCTGAAGAATTGAAAAATGGAAATGTTGAAAATTTAATAAGTCGATAAATCTAAAAAGTGAAGAATTGAAAAAAAGACTGGAAAATCAAAAACCTGAAAAATCGAAAAATTGAAGAATTGAAAAACGGAAAGGTCCAAACATCGAATAGTCGAGAAGTTAAGAAATGGGAAAAGTGGTATACCTTCTAAGAAAAGAGAGAGTGGATGAGCGGACCTACTACCTACTAAGATAAGACTGATTTTGGCAAATGAGATACTCTCTAAGAAAAGAGAGGGTGGGTGGGCGGGGCTAGTAACTTTTAAAATAAGATCGATTTTGGCAAATCACATACCCCCAAAGAAAAGAAAGGGCGGGTGGGTGGGGCTGCTAGCTCCTTTGGTACGACTGATTTCACCTAATGAGATATTCTCTAGGAAAAAAGAGAGTGGTTGGACGGGTTTAGTACCTGTTATGACTGTTTTGGCAAAAGTGTGCGGTATACTTTATTAAACGATAAAAAAGCAAAATAAGAATGAAAAACGACACTGAAGTGACTAGTATTATTAATGTTGATGACGTCGTCACAAATTTTTTATTGGACAAATTAAGAACGAGTTACCCCTGTTCTCGAAAATGTGAAGAATACGCACGTCTTTATATAATAATGATAAAATATGTGTTCTACGTGACATTCTTTCGATGTAAGTATAAACATAAATAAACACTTGAGCGTCAGATTGCTATTACCTAGTGCTGAGAGACAAGGGTTGTGAGAGATGGATTATTTTAAGTTCAACGCGGTGACTCGTCAGAATCTGACAACGCACTGTCAGTCAGTAGCGTAACATGCACACTTCAGAAGGGGGTGGTTTTTAAATCTGTTTTTTTAAATCGTAAACAATAACACACCGAAATATATTAATTACGGGGGAACAGGACATACACAACACCCAGAGGCAGGGCGGGAAACGAACCCACCACTCAAGGTGTAGCGGTAAGCAGGAAGCTAACTAACCCATCCGGGTCCACTAGTTTCATTGTATTTCAGGAACGAGGGAAGTTCTGTCGAAACAACTTTCGACAAATCTTTTAGTTTGGTTAAATCCTCTAATTTTTGTTTTTTAAAATCTTTGGATATTCTAGATTTTCTGGAATATTGGATTTCTTGATTTTGGGTTTTTTTGGATTTTTTTTCGATTTTACCGAGGTCACTAAATACATCTTTCTTGTTTAATAGGTATAAATACTACAGACTCATATATGTACAGACTAGAGAGGGTTCGTATATTGTGTTTTATAAAATAAACTTTACAAGTTTCAGTTTTATGCAGATTAAAGATTGTTCTAATGTACTGCTTTTGAAAAATAAATATTCTGAAGACATCATTTGAATTTCCACAGAATATTAGGCCATATTTTAATCTGCATTGTACATAAATGGAATACGCTACTAGTGCTAATTGTGGAGATAATGTTCAAGTGTATGCATAAATCTACGAATATGTACTATTTAAAAAAAAAGTGTTGCTCTTATTACAGTATTTGTTAAGTTTAAGTTAAGTTATTAATATCTTTCAATTTATAGTTCTGTTGAAAATCTACATATCAAGGTAATTTAATATAAACATTTTTTTTATTTTTATCAAATTCGACGAAGTCTTAAACCAAAGTTGCTTTTAATATTTTGATATACCCACTAGTTTTTAAATAAAATTAACTAAATTGTTCATCACCTGGTTTTTGAAAATTTCTGTAGCCTTCACAGTACGCAGAAATGTGTCATTAAGCATTTTTACGTTCTCATTTTTGGATAAGAAAATTTCGTTAAATACTTACGAATTTTAAATGTTCTGTTATAATTTTGTGAACATTATTTCCACGTATCAATTAATCAGTGGCGGGTCCTAAGCAAAAGTGAATTTATTTTCTGGTTAAGAATAAACATCCTTATTTTAGAACAGCCACCACAGAATAGCTTTTTTTCAGTATCTAAAAAAATCCAATGAAAGAATAATATTTTACATTTGAATTCTTACCGCAGTAAAAGTATTTAGCGTTAAATCTAATAACCCTCCAGCTGAAAGAATTATAGGCCGCTGAGATCGTTCCATTAAAGTAAGGTACAGTTTTTGTGTTTCCAGAGTGTACTCGTACCAATGGCTTAAATAAGAAGCTGTGACAAGCTTGTCGCTCTAAAATACGTTATTATTTAAACTAATTTTTAACGAAAATTAAAAGTATGAAACCAATTTATTACGTAAAAACTGAATTAAAATTTTGCAAAAAGAATATTTAAAAATGTGAGATGTTAACCTTTCACCAAAATACATCCACATATAGTTTCATACTTCTAAAATAATAAAATAAAAATAACTAAATTATGAAATAAAAATTTCTAATTACGTACCTCTTCAAACAAAAGTGTTCCAAAATAGCAGTAAAATAGTACTTGGGAGAGTATGAGGAAAAAGAATACAATGTATTGCATTCCATCTATGCTTGTAACGGGAACCTAAAGTTCTCGATTATAATGAGAATGACCTTTTAAATGAACATTTATACCGTAAGAATTGCCGTGATGAGGAAACATAGTAAAGATGCTGTTCCACTGAATTGATTGAACACACACCAAGAAAAACATTGATCGACTTCGTTGATAAAACTAAAAATTAATAAAAATCAACGTAAGTTAAACAAAATGAAAATCTTACTTTAGTATTTCAGTGTGATACTTTATACATTCCACTACCCTTTGGTAAATATAATTTTCAAGCAAAGTCGCATGGAACGTATCTTGGTCGAAGTTTTCAGGATTCTGTATTCTGTGTTTCAAAATTTTCAACTGACTCACAGCTTGAAACATAAGTCCTCCTATCAATGGATCAAGTGATGCGTTAGTCAAAGCACAGTAGGAAATAACTGAAATGATTACTTGTCATAACATTAATTTTTACAATAAATTATCCTTACCAGTCCAGATATAAGCATACGTAGCGTAATAATTTATTAAACTCGAAGTGGTAGAATAGGGTAACCACATCCGCAACGGCAATTCATATCCACTGGAGAACAATGCCGGCAATAAAAACAACACTTGACAAGACGAAATACAAATAATATAAAATTTCGTTATTATTTGACACAGGACCACACTGTTGTTGAGAATTTGTTGCTCTGTTTTATCTTGTGGCCCATATTCCACACCATCAAAGTAACTGATGCAGCGTTTTATTCGCTCTCCCTTTCTAAACATAGGCAAAAACTTAAACGCGAAGAAAATCCCTTCGCAAACAAAGATAGCTTGCATCATGTCGTATCCTCTTCGTACACACATGTCAACACCCACCAGCGAGAAGGCAAAAACGAGAAAAAAATATATATAACGTAACCTTGTAATCGATTAAACGTCGACTGATTTGGAGGATACCATCGAACAATTTTCATCAGTTTTAAATTAATGGTAAAACTTTGCTTGTTTGGATTTTCCATCGTTACACAAGGACCTCGATTAATCCACTGTCATAGTGCTCAACAAAACTGGCGATTCATTGTAAGTTCTACATCAATATGTATCGTATCCCCTTTGTAAGTGCGTTTCTTCATAATTAAAGTAAGTTGAATGAATTTTTAATCAAAGAGAACATCGGCAGAGAACACGCAAATTAACTGTGATCACTTTTAAAAGAATAATAGATAAGTAATTATTGAGCGGTGCAACAAAGAGATGCATATATTATTTGCTTGGATATAATTTTCAAAGAAATGTATTTAGTTTTATGAGGGAGCGTAGTTGAAATGCAAACGAATAAAACGGAGTGTTTTTTTCAACACTCTATCAAGTGCTCTTGAACCATCGTGATTTTAGGGTGAAGATGAATGGGAAAGTAAGTGCTGCAAAGAGATTTAATTTCCTTTATTCCCTGAGGTCCAACAAAGTTTGGAACATTATAATAAATTTCCTGTAAAAAGAGGCTTACGACAACCAGAATTATGAAGAAACCAAAACCCTGTTTAATAAAATTGCAGCCTTCTGTACAATATTAAAACATCAGGTGGTGAGAGTCATATAACATCCTTGACACACAACAAGGAATTTTTTTATTTGTTGTATTGTTTCAGAAGCCATATTTTTAATGGGACACTCATTATTATTTTCGAAAGGTTCAAACTAGTCGTAGCTACAAGAAGAAGGAAGTATACTAACCTTTTAAACCTTTTATCAAGAAACAAGCAAAAATTTTGTATACGCCGAATGGAAACAACCTGAGAGCACTTGAATTCAAGAATAGACGAAGCAGATAACTGTAATTTGAAAAATAAAAATATAGTAGTAATTATAAATCCTTAAATATACGTCTTGTCCAATGTCCAATATTTCAATGCTGTGGAAATATTTCAATTAGTTAATTTATAACTTTGTCAATACTTTCCCTACAATTGTTTGCTCTGTTGACAGCATAAAGTATTTCGACAAACGTCTTCTGTCATCCATTCTGCCAGAACAACCTATTCTGTTCTCTATTTCTTTGCAAATTTTTGTGCCGACATGTTTTATTGCCCATCCCATTTTGCCCCTATTCAAATCAATATACTTACGTGTCCTTCCTAAAATGTTGATATCATCAAAAAGTTTTTATTTTGAAAAACTTACTATAAAGATTATGCATACGACACTTCTTTACCTGTCCTTTAACAATTCACATAGATATTAATTTTAAGTCATGAGGGTCTCATACTAAAAAGTAAAATTTTATAATTTTTCGAAGCTGAGTTTGTCTGATTGTACTGAATTTCTCAATTTTCAATTTTTCAATTTCTCCATTTTTTGATTTTCGATTTTGTTGAAATTTTGGTTTTTCAGTGTATCAAGGATTCGAATTTTTAAGTTTTTGTTTTTACTATAATTCGATTGCTTAATTATTCATTTTGGATTTTTAAAACTTACAATTTGCTGTTTCTTCGAATGTTGCGTTTTTAGATTTTCCTTTACTTATCTCATTTTCCGAATTGTCGTTTTTCCGACTTTTCGAACCCCCGATTTTTCATATTTTTCAATTTTTCGATTTCTCAATTATTCAATTTTTTAATTTTTCGATATTTCGATTTTTGGGTTTCTCGATTTTTCAATTTTTGGACTTCCCAATTTTTCGATTTTTTAATTAATCAATTTCTGAATTTCTGAATTTTTTGATTTTTTCTATTTTTCGATATTTAGGTTTTCCTATTTTTCGATTTTTCGACTTTTAGATTTTTCAACTTCTCGGCTTCTCTATTTCTCGACTTTCGATTTTTTTAATTTTCGAGTATTTCTATTTTGCGATTTGTAATGTAATATTTATTAACGGTTATTATACCTGTATATAGATTTATACATAACTAAAATTACTTATAATATAAATGTACAAATATTATAAAGAAAACCAAACAATATTTCGATTTTTCTTGATTGTTTGATTTTTTTCATATTTCCAATGTTACTATTTCATTTTACGTTTTATCGATTTTTCGACTTTTCGATATTTAGAATTTTCGATTTTTTATATTTTTCAATTTTTCGATTTCTCAATTATTCAATTTTTCGATTTTTCGATTTTTCAACTTGTTGGGTTCTGTTTCTCGATTTTTCGATCTTTCGAATTTTAGATTTTTGTGAATTTTCGATTCGATTTTCCCCATTTGATTTTTTAAGTTTTTCCATTTTTTGATATTTTGATTTTTGTCGATTATTTTATTTTTTCAGTTTTTCGATCTTCCAATTTTTCCATTTTTCTTTTCTTAGATGTCTCGAATATTTGATTTTTAAGAATTTTCATTTCTCGATTTTCCGATTTTTCGACTTTTCAACTTCATTTTTTCAACTTAATTCTTGGGCTTTTCAACTTTTCAGTTTTTATATTTCTCGACTTTTCAATATTTCGACTTTATGATGTACCAATTTTTCAAATTTCGATTTTCCGAATTTTTGATTTTTCGAGTTTTTCCATTTTTCCATATTCCGATTTGTGTCGAATGTTCGATATTTAGTTTTTTCAATTTTTATTTTTGTCAGTTTCCGATTTTCAACTTTGTGATTAGAACTTTAAATTTTTTCATTTTTAGATTATTTTATTTTCGATTTACGATTTTTGAATTTTGAATTTTCTGATTTTTCATATTTCGAACTTTGGATTTCCCGATGTTTCTATCTTTCGATTTTTCCGTTTTCCGATTTGTCGATTTTTTGTTTCCTGGATTTTTCTATTTTTAAATTTTTTCATTTCTGATATTCTGGATTGGTCCCTTGTTCCATTATTCAATTTCTCAATATTTCAGTTTTTCCACTTTTTCCTTTCGATTTATACACGCCTAAAATTACTTATAAATGTACAAATATTATAAAGATAAACAAACAATATTTCGATTTTTCTTGATTGTTTTCTGATTTTTTCATATTTCGAGTCTTAATTTTTCATTTTTCGTTTTTTCGATATTTTATATTTTTCAATTTTTCGATTTTTCGATTTTACAGTTTCTCAACTTTTCGATTCTTCGATTTTTCAACTTGTCGTTTTCTCTGTTTCTCGACTTTTCGAACTTTCGAATTTTAGATTTGTCTGAATTTTCAATTCGATTTTCCCCATTTTGAGTTTTTCCATTTTTTGATATTTTGATTTTGCTCAATTATTCGATTTTTTATTTTCCATTTCTCGATTTTTCGATTTCTCCAATTTTGACTTTTTTCATTTTAAAATTTTAGGTTTTTCGACTTTTCGATATTTAGAGCTTAAAATTTTTTGATTTCTAAATTTTACTAATTTTTGACTTATAGATTTTTCAATATTTCGATTTCTAAATTATTCAATTTTTTTTTATTTCTATATCCGGATTGCCCGATTTTTCAATTTTTCAGTTTTTCGATTTTTAATTTTTTCGATTTTATAATTTTCCTATCTTTCTCTTTCTTGATTTCCCAATTTGTCGGTTTTTCGATTTGTCAAGTTTTCAATTTTTCGATAATTTTTGGATTCTTAGATTTTAAATATGTTTTAATTTTAATTTTTTCAATGTTTCGATCTTTCAACTTTTCTATTCTTCAAGTCTTCGATTTTTCAATTTCTGAATTTCTCGACTCTTAGATAGTTGAAATTTTCGATTTTTAAGAATTTTCAATTTTTCGATGTCTCAATTATTCAATTTTTCGATTTATCCATAGTTTTTGGATTTCCAGGCTTTTCAATTTGTCGAATTTTTCAATTTTTGAATTTCCCGATTTTTTGTTTCTGATACTTTCCCATTTTTAAAATTTTTCTTGTCTCGATTTTCCGATTTTTCGATTTTTCATTTTTTCTTTTTCAACTTCTCGGTTTTTCTATTTCTCGACTTTTCGATGTCTCGACTTTATGATGTATCAATTTTTCGAATTTTTTGAATTTTCGAATTTCGATTTTCCGAATTTTTGATTTTTCGAGTTTTTCCATTTTTCCATATTCCGATTTTTGTCGAATGTTCAATTTTTTGTTTTTTCCAATTTTTACTTTTTTCATTTTCCGATTTTTCAAATTTGTGATTATTAGAACTTTAAATTTTTTCATTTCTATATTATTTTGTTTTCATTTTTCGGGTTCTGAATTCTTGAATTTTCTGATTTTTCATATTTCGCTTTTTGGATTTCCCCATGACAGAAACTTTCGATTTTTCCTTTTTCCGATTTGTCGATTTTTCGATTCCTGGATTTTTTCATTTTTAAATTTTTTCATTTCTGATTTTCTAGATTGGTCCATTTTTCCATTATTCGGCTTTTCGATTTTTCGATTTTTCAATTTTTGCTTTCTGATTTTCTTGATTTTTCGATTTTTCAAATTTTCGATTTTTCAATTCTTCGATTTTTTCATTTTTGACTTTCTCAATTTCCGAATTTCTCGACTCTTACATATTTCGTATTTTCGATTTTTAAGAATTTCTAATTTTTAGATTTCCCAGTTATTCGATTTTCCGATTTTTCGATAGTTTTTTGATTTCCCGTTTTTTCAATTTTTCGAATTTTTAGTTTTTCAATTTTCCAATTTCTGTATTTCCCGACTTTATGATTCTTGGACTTTTCGATTTTTAGGATTTTTCATTTCTCGATTTTCCGATTTTTCGTTTTTTCAACTTAATTCTTGGATTTTTCAACTTCTCGGTTTTCTATTTCTAGACTTTTTCATCTTTCGAATTTTAGAGTTTTTGCATTTTCGATTCGATTTTCCGAATTTTTGATTTTTTGAGTTTCTCCATTTTTCGATTTCTCGAATTTTTACTTTTTTCATTTTAAAATTTTAGGTTTTTGGACTTTTCGATATTTAGAGCTTCAAATTTTTTAATTTAAAAATTTTCCTAATTTTTGACTTTTAGATTTTTCAATTTTTCGATTTCAAAATTATTCAATTTTTTGATTCTCGATATTTCTGTATACGGATTGCCCGATTTTTCAATTTTTCGGTTTTTCGATTATTTAATTTTTTCGATTCTTTAATTTTCCGATCCTTCACTTACTTGATTTCCCAATTTGTCACCCTTTCGATTTCTGAGTTTTTTGATTTTTCAATTTTTGCTTTCCGATTTTCTCGATTTATTGATTTTTAGATTTTTCAAATTTTAGAGATTTCGATATTTTTTGGAGTCTTAGATTTCAAAGTTTTTTGAATTTCTCAATTTCCAAATTTCTGGACCCTTAGATATTTAGAATTTTCGATTTTTAAGAATTTCCAATTTTTCGATTTCTCTGTTATTCAATTTTCAGATTTTTCTATAGTTTTTGGATTTCCCGATTTTTCAATTTTTCGAATTTTTAGTTTTTCAATTTTTCAATTTTTTTGTTTTCAATTTTTGGACTTTTTAACTTTAGAATTTTTCAATTTCTGAATTTCTCGACATTTTGATTCTTGGATTTTTCGATTTTTAAGATTTTTCATTTCTCGATTTTCCGATTTTTGATTTATCACTTTTTCTTGTATTTTTCAAATTTTCGGTTTTCTATTTCTTAACTTTTCGATCTTTCGAATTTTAGATTTTTTTGAATTTTCGATTCGATTTTCCGAATTTTTGTTTTTTTGAGTTTTTCCATTTTTTGATGTTTTGATTTTTCTCGATTATTCAGTTTTTTATTTTTCCACATCTCGATTTTCCGATTTCTCCAATTTTTACTTTTTTCACTTTAAAATTTTTAGATTT